CGCGCCTCCCTGGGCACCTCGCACAGCACAGCGCCTGCTTGTCGCGGGTGCTCCGTGGCTTTGAGGGCAAGCGGAGAGCCATGGAGTTCACTGTTGACAACCAGCGGAGGTTTCACAGGGGAGGACACTGATGAGGAGCCCTGAAAACTGAGAACAGCCAGGCGCCCAGATTTACTGCCAAGCTAATGCCCACACCGCACGTTTTCCACTGGACTTCTTTGACTCCTGGGTTTTTACCTGCGGGCGCATATCTCCCAACTAACGCCTGCTCTTTGAAGGTATTGGTGGGAAGCAATCGCGCCTGCCACAGTGTGGTTTTCCTGTGGCTGCAGGGTCTCTCCAGTGAGAACATTAAATGGCAAAGTGAGCGGGGAAGCCGTCGCTTTCCTTGCAGTGGTGCAGACTTCGCGCTACGGTTGTTTCCAAGCGAGCGGACTCCTCCTGGAGATGTGGGTGCTTTCACGAGGAAGCAGGCTTTTAGATCAGCCCGGGAGACTTGGGAAGTCCCAAGGCAGGAGGAAACCATGGGCGGGGGGAGGGGGAGTGCCGAGAGCCGGATGGAAGCCAGGAGAGGACGTGTCAGGACAGGAGCAGATCACACAGTGGCAGGAGCCCCCGCGGGCACAGGCTGCAGGTGCCAGCGATGGAATCGGGGCTTGAGTTTGTATATAGTTGAGCCAGTTCTAAATTTTCAGGGATGAAAAATAAAACGCTTTAGGAGACGAATTTGGTGTTCATTCTCAGGGAGGCTAATTGGAGGATACTAAAGAATATCCAATTAAGAAATAAATAAAAAGGATTTTTTAAAAAAGCATGATGAGATGCAAATGAAGCAATTTACTTTCTTATTGTTGAAGCATCTCGCAGCTTTCGTGAGGGGGTGGCCAGAATGTAACAGAACCTTTTCAGAAATAGAACAGAGCACAGAGGGAGCCCCTTTGGGGAGAAACAGGGTTAGTTTGCTTTATATATGTAGTTAAGCTTTAGGGACGATCAGCATGAAGTGCCCTGGAGGAAAACAGAGATGTAAGAATTTACTCTTTTTATGATTGCTCTTCTTACTGATATTACTATGACCGTGATGACGGAAACTCATTGGCATAAGCCTCAAGTGTATTTATTTTTATTTTTTAACGTATCTTTATTGTTGAAAGTATTACAGATGTCCCCTTCTTCTCCATCCCACTGACTCCCTCCACCCCACACCCACCCCACCCCACCCCCAGGCCTTTACCAAACTGTCGTCTGTGTCCATGGTTCATGCATATATGCATACGAGTTCTTCATTAATCCTTCCTGCCCTCCTCCCCCACCTTGCTTCTGAGATGAGTCAGTCTGTCCCCTGCTTCCCTATCTCTGGATCCACTCTGTTCATCCATTTATTTTGTTCATTAGATTCCACATATGAGTGAGATCATGTGATACTTGTTTTTCTCTGACTGGCTTATTTCACTTAACATAATATTCTCCAAGTCCCACCATGCTGTCTCAAAGGATAAGGAATCCTCCTTTTTTATAGCTGCGTAGTATTTCGTTGTGTAGATGTACCACAGCTTTTTTATCCACTCATTTACTGAGGGGCACTTAGGCTGTTTCCAAGTCTTAGCTATTGTAAATTGCACTGCTGTGAATATAGGGGTGCATATATCCTTTCTAATTGGTGTTTGGGGTTTCTTAGGATATATTCCTAGAAGTAGGATCAGTGGGCCAAATGGAAGTTCCATTTTTAATTTTTTGAGGGGATTTTTTATGATTACTGTGCTTACTGATATTACTATGATGGTGAGGGTGGAAACTCAGTGGTATAAGCTTCAAATTTAAAATCCCATTAACCTTGATTCTATTTATCCAGACTCCTCAATCACGGAGAACCTCTGCTGTGATTGGAAGGCAGGTGGGTGGGGAGAAGTGTCACCACAGCCTAATAATGGTTGTTATCTGGTGAGCGCTAATGGGATAAGCGGTTGCTATGAGAAGGTCTAATGGGCATCCAATAGGAAGCCTCATGGGTGCTGTTACTTTGCCCACATCTTGGTTTGCTCGGAGCAGAGGAAACTGACTCCTACTAAATAAGCCAACAGGAGACTGAAGGCTGATTTAGGCGCAATGAACCTTTCTCTCCTGCAGTCCTCTCTCAGCCCAAGCGGGCGTTCGAGAGTGGCCTGCGGGACAGGGCGCAGGGGACGGACAGATGGGAAGGGTGTTTAATGATGGGACACCCCTGCCGCGGCTCACCGAGCCTGAGTCTGCTGACTGAGCAGTCACGGCCACCATCCCCGACGCCTCTCTCACCTGGATGTCACCAGATGAGCTTTTGTTTGTTTTTTCTTTTCCTTTGCTCTACTCTAGCTCAGTGGTCCCCAAGTGCCATTACTGCCTGGGGAACAGCTGGGGAGCTTGTCTAAGTTAGAGTCGGGTGCCCTGGCCCCTAGATCCTGGTCGGGGTGCCCACAGCGAGGCCTGGGAGCCTGGCCTGAGGCGAGCCTCCAGGGTTCCGAGGCAGCACAGAGCGACTGACCCAGTCTGGTTTGGCCGCAGGTGAGGTTCCAGCCACCATGCCCACTTCCCACCTCCATCCGGGCCTGTTATCTGCTTTCCCTCCTGCCAAGGATTTGTTTGAACATAGATTTTCGGCACCTTAACAAGAATGGGTAAATTACTTCTCTGAGTTAATCTTGGCCTTTTGATTAGCACTGTTGGTCTTCGACAAGGTCATACAACAATTGTGTGGAAGCCCATTGTTACATCACAATCACATTTACTCCTTCGCCAGCTGTTTATTGATCATCTTCTATGTGCCAGGCGCTGTGCTAGGGACCAGAGAGCCAGCAGTGCACAGAATGATAGGCCTCTGTCGTCATATTCTAGTGCAGAGAGGTGGGAGGGAGTGGGGACAGGCAGCATGGAAGTAAATGAAATTACTTCACATTTCGTAAGTGCTGTGCGGGCCGATCAGAGTTCTGTGGGAGCAAGTCTCAGAGGGAACAGAATGTAGTCAAGGTGAGCTGGAAACACTTCCTTATCCAGGGGACTTTCTGAGACCAGAGGGGCCAGAGCCAGGCCTGCCGGCTGCTGCCAGCTGGGATACGATCATGGACCGTGGGCACAGAACTGGGGAGCTGGAAGTAACAGTGAGCCCGACGGTTAGACGGCGGCATTCAGGAGATGGTGGGGGTGGCGCAGGCTCTGGCCGTGGCGCGGTCCCTGTGAAGCAGAGGGCGCTGCTGTGAAAGGTGAGGTGGTCAAGGAACCAGGGTTTATTGGGGCTCAGAGTCACTGCACCCGCTGATGAAAGTGGGGTGAAGGCGCAAAGTCTGAGCGAGCAGCTAAGGTCTTCAGAGCATGAGGTTAAAGTGTCAAGGACAAAAGCAGATGCCAGTGTAAGGAGGGACAAGGATGGCCGGCGGAGGTGTGTGCCTCACAGGAGCCCGAGGAGCTGTGCTGGAGGCAGCGGTTGAGTAGCAGAAAAGAGCCTCCTGTCTGCTGGCCTGAGGAACGGGGGTTCGAGTAAGCGAGGTTCCATCCACTGAGAAAGTGCCAGGGAGGCAGAGCCCGGGGGGCGGGGGAGCAGCTTTCACCTGGAGAACGCACCTCGGGGGAAGCAGACGGGCCGCAGGTCCTGCGGATGGAAGGGGAGTGTGATGACCCCAACCAGAAGGCCCAGAGTGCACAGTGGATGGTTGATTTTTTGTCTTTGTTAGAGTCATCAGGGCACATAAATTACAGTGGATAATTATAATTACTATTAAAACAATAATAATAGCAGTTATTCTTTCTAGTTCCAGTGGCTGGAGAATAGCAGAAATGTAGTGGCATTTTCATTGCAGGCCTGGGCTGAGTCCTGCCCACGCCGCCTACCAATAGCCCCCTGATCTCCCAAACCTCAAGTCATAGTTTCTATTGTCTGTGAACACGTGATGGACCATGAGTCATTGGTCAGAGTAAAGACGTCATCCCAGCAGCCTCTGGGCAGACAGCAGACGAATGGTTTTAGTTAAACATTCTGGCAGCTGTGTTATGGGGTTCCCCAGGCTGGTGTGTGGGGATCAGGGGTTCCTCACATGAAGCTCAGCTAATGGAAGGACCGTGGTGCCTGGAGGTGGCTCCCACCCGCCATGCTTCATTCCTCAGCTCTTTGGCTCAATATGCTAGGAAAAGCCTAACCATCTTTGAGCACCTAAGTCCATTCATTCTTTCATTTGTTCATTGAACAGATAGTCTAGAGCAATTGCTATAGGTTATAGACCATTCTGGACACTTGGGGATACAATGGGAAATATATCTCTATCTCCCTATGTATACACATCTCCCCTGGGAAATTTTCCTCTACACACACACACACACACACACACACACACACCTTTAGGCTGATGAGCCCATGCATTATTGCCACAGCACATCGTTAACTCATTAATTTTTTTCCCAGTAACATGCTGACAACCCCATATGTGTATCTCCCCTCCAGTCTTCTCGTCTCCTCCTCAAGCACTCTTTTCAAATCTAAGTGAGATCATGTTATGTCTCTGCTCTCCAAATGCAACCTAGTCTACCAGAGTAGAAGCCAAAGTCCTTATCCCTTCCGTCCCCATTGGAGGATACCGCCTTGTAAATCCCTCCTCCCATGTCTGTCTCTACCCAATCACTGTGAAAGGTGTAGAATGCAGTCAGATGAAGGGCAGATAATTGAGCATGAGAAAATCTATTAGTGTAAGGTAGCACATTAGTGCCAAATGAATAATAACATATACATAGCCTATATATATAATATGAACTTTTTATTCAAAATGAATCATTTTGGATACCATTTTTTATTGTTATGTTTTCTGTGAAGACGCTTACTACAATATGTACCTTTGGCATGCTTTGCTAAATTGTTCTACTAGCTTATATGAGGTTCTCTCCCTGAAAGTATTTTAAAATAAATATGTCAACTTTCTTATCACTATACCCACATTTGTGAATGTGCTTTCAATGTTTCTTCTCTATTTTAACAGAACCCCAAGTTCCACATGCCTGAGGGTTCCAAGGAAAATCCTCTACTTAACCCTGAGAGGTTTAGTAGGGTCTTAAGGGAGACAAGTCCCTCACAAGGAGAAGGTCAACCTTCGGGCAAGACCACAGAGTCACCAACCCTTAAGTTGATGGGAAAACATCAAGGAACTAAGACCCTTTCCAAGACGTTCAGAGGAATGAGTTGGCCACTGGACACTCGCCCTCTAAACAAAAGCTTAGTCAAGGACAACAAATGGAGGGAGGCGGATGCAACCCAAGAGAAACGCAGGTCTTTCCTGCAGGAGTTCTGCAAGAAATATGGTGGAGTGAGCCGTCCTCAGTCACATCTCTTTCACATGGTATCCAGGATCTATGTGGAAGATAAACACAAAGTCCTATATTGTGAAGTGCCAAAGGCTGGCTGCTCCAACTGGAAAAGAATTCTGATGGTTCTAAATGGATTGGCTCCCTCGGCATACAACATCTCCCATGATGCCGTCCACTACGGGAAGCATTTGAAAAAGTTGGACAGCTTTGACCTAAAAGGGATATACACTCGTTTGAATACCTACACCAAGGCGGTGTTTGTTCGTGACCCCATGGAGAGGTTAGTGTCAGCCTTCAGGGACAAATTTGAACACCCCAATAGTTATTATCACCCAGTATTTGGGAAAGCAATTATAAAGAAATACCGGCCAAATGCCTGTGAAAAAGCCTTAAATAATGGCTCTGGAGTCAAATTCAAGGAGTTCGTTCACTATTTACTGGATTCTCACCGTCCGGTAGGAATGGACATTCACTGGGAGAAGGTCAGCAAGCTCTGCTACCCGTGTCTGATCAACTACGATTTTGTCGGGAAATTTGAAACTTTGGAAGAAGATGCCAATTACTTTCTACAGCTGATCGGTGCCCCCAAAGAGCTGAAATTCCCCAACTTCAAGGACAGGCACTATTTAAAGGACCTGACCAGAACCGAGAGACAATTGATCTATGACTTCTATCAGTTGGACTACATGATGTTTAATTATACCACTCCGTTTCTGTAGTTTGCATTCATGTTCTAAAACACTGTATTTACTTCATGAGGACGATCTTGAATCAGCTAACTGTAATTTTCCTATAATTCTCCATAGGGGAGAGATTTAACTAAATGCAGTTGCCTTGATTTAATGAAGACTTTTACCAAATAGTATGACACCAATTGGCACAAAGTTATAGGAAAATTACCTCACAGAAACATGTGAACAACTCGAGTTACTCTAAAATGTTTGGGAAAGAGCTGCTTTTGCATTATGGATCAGATTATAGAAGCAATAACCCAGCCAGCTGCTCCCTCCACCGCAGCAGACCCCACCACGACAGGAAGAGGGATCTAAAATAGCATGAGTGGATGTCTCCACCCTGGATTGGTGGCATTACGTGCATGGATATATTTCTAGCAGTCTGAGGCATATGAATCAAACCCTGGCTAGTTTTCTTATACCCCGGAAATCTTTCAATCAACTGCAATGACGAATTGGTTTTGAGATGGCATTTGGGGCCTGAGCCTTTCACTTTAGATTGGGAGGCATCGTGTGATTTACAACATGAGAAGGCAGCACATACACCAGATGAGGCTCTGGCTTTCTATATTCAACAGCCAATAAAAAATGCTCAACAGACTCAGATCAAAGCAACAGAAAAGCCTTCCTCTTCCCGGGAAACAGAAGGGAATTAATTCCGTTTTCTCTGGAGTCTCTACGCGGAGACGAAATGAGCACAGCCACTGGGGGCCTTTGCTTCTGAGGCAGGCGGTTGAGTTTAGGCCTCGGTAGATAGAAATGTGCTCCTAATTCTGGTTTAATTGGGGGGGGGGAGTGGTTGTTTCAGGATGGAAGACTCATCAAAAAACAAAAGCTGCCACTCGGACTACAGACCTCAAACAATAAGGGAGTTTTATAAGAACGGTATTGGAATCAAAGCATCATGTGCACAGCGCTGTATGTGGCATGAACTCTGTGAATAGCTTTGTTTTCAGTCTAATGTTTCAGCTTGGGAATGACTTCCCAAAAACGAATGCACCACTTCAAAGATGGGTTATATTCCAGAGAATAAACAGAACAGGCGCCCCTGGGAACATTTTAATAGGCTTTTGCATAAACAAATTAAGGTACTTTTTTAAGTTTAAATATTCTGTCCTAACCAAGTCAAATACCAGTGCATTCACAGATTAAGTCAGAGTTGGGAAAATAAGACCATGTGTCACCCCCGTGAGCAGTCGTAATGCATTTTAGACATTTTTTCCAAAGGACCCGGAAGCAGAAGACACGTTTGAGTGGGAAATTCATTCTCACTGGTCAGCTGTTACCCTGGGTTAAACCACGCCATTCAAATCTCGCTTACATCCTGTTGCTTCCCCACACCATCGCTTTAGTCAGTAAACACTCAGAAATGGCTTTCGCAGAAAAGCAGGTGTTCGTATCTGAGTATGATGCTGCAGTCGCCCGTTTCGATTTGGTTCTCCGTGTCATGGCCGAGCACTCATGAGCTGCTTCACTCTCTACACACCCCTACCCTCTGTGTCTGCCATCGTCAGCGGTACACCTTCCACACTGACCTGCCACTCCCTTCCCACGCCATCCACTCGCGCCGCGAGACCACACTCCGAAGCTGTGCTCTCTCTTTAAGGAGTTCTACTCCAGAGGAAGCTCATTTCTATCATTTGAATTTCGCTGCACCACGTAGGGCGAGTTCCGTTTTGAAATCTCACACTTCGTGAGCTCTCTGATCAACAGGAAAAGCGAAAGGATGGTCCCCCCCGCTGGGACGTGCGTCAGATCCCTCTCTTACCAGCAGATGCAGGCACTCCTCCAGTTCTTTCTTTTCGCTTCATTAATTTGTCCATTTCTTATACCCTCTTCGTATGAATATGAAATCTCTGTTGTCATTGGAATCTGTCTTAGGTCTTAAATGCAGGAGGAGAGAGACGGTGTCTGTTTCATTCATTCTGTGCCGTTTCTAGCAAAGCGCTCATGAAAAGTCACTGTGACAGATGTCTGCTGAAGTGCAAGGTCCCTCTCCAGCTTCTCCCAGTGGGGAATGGGTGCATTTCTGCCCTGGGACTCTCAGACCTGCAGGACCAGCGGATCTAAGGAGAAGGCCCCGGGCAGTGAGGAAGGCCCCGGGCAGTGAGGGGGGACTGGGGCGGTGAGGAGGGACTGGGGCAGTGAGGGGGGACTGGGGCAGT